AGAATCTACGAATAATATAGAAATAATTTATAATCAATAAACTTACGTTTAGTAACACGGCTGAAATGTTTAATTTGTTTTATTATTTTCAAGAAACAGGGTAAAATATTCTTCCGATTCAGGCATTTTTCATTAAATCAAGATTTGTACCACGATGTAACTTTAAAATGTTTATTTTTCTATGCCTTGTTGATATCGGTACGCATACAACGTTGATGCCTACAACGGCATATAATCGGTACGCATACAACGACAGATTTCTATTCACATACACGACGACTAATCACAATCGACCCGTCTAGAAATGATCGCATCGACAGCGAATGACGAACAATTTGGGCATAACGGACTTCCGTTGCATTTGTACGGATTTACACTCTAGTCGCGCCTAAAGAAGTTTTACTTCAAAAATCCCAGATAATGCATTAATGTAGAACTATGTTGTTTTTTCACGAATTTGTGACCTGGTCCTTTTCATCTTGTAAGCGGAGTAAAATGCGACGGCCAGAGGGCAAACAGATCCAATGTCTTACTTTTAATTCTGAAGAGATTATACGAAATAATTGGTACATTATTCAACCATTGTAAAATATGAATTCGTCATTATAGAAAAGTTTTATTTTTCTAAAATTAATCACCTGCCCCGGGGCCCTGTATTAATTTAAAAAGTCCCTCCCTGGCGTAACGGATTCTGTTGTCGAGACACGCGTCATCGAGGCCATGGACCAGCGGCGATAATGATCATAATCAAGAATCTGAATGAGATGGAGTAGATCAGGAAAAAATAACAAACGATAAATAAAAATACGACTCGATCTCGATAACCAACAAACATTGTATTAAGAAGAGAGCTGGTGCGCGGATTATTCAATTTTATCTTTTTGTTGAATGGTAGTTTTGATAATTTTATTTTAGAAAGAGTAAAATATATAGAGCTATTTCATTATAACAAAAAACGGGCTGTTTTTAATATAGAGGCACAACAGCCAGAACCAGTTCACATATATAATATTCGGGTTCGCCCGTAGGTAAGCGGTTAAGACCGACGGGACCTGAATTAGAGGTCCCGGGTTCAATACCCACTTCGAGCAGCTTGTTGTCAGGCAGCAGTGACAACGATTTTCACTTGGAAATATAGATAGCAATGTTTTCAAGTGAAAATAGACCTTGCCCGGCATTGCTGCACCAATAAAAAATCAGCCCTATTGGATTAATTCTAATAACAAAAATCATCAAATATGGATCGATTAACCACTGGGTTACCATCTAACTAAAACTTTGCTATAAAAGTAATAAATACATTAAATATAACATCAATTAACCCAGTATGCGCCCCCCCCCTGTAACAGCCTGCAGCCCTCCTGAGGAAACGCGCCCCATCAGATTGGAAACCGCGGAATTAAGCAATTTCCTGTGGCAGGCCCATGACGAGATATCGGACAAATATGGGTTTATTTTACAAAATTGAAAAATGTAATTACTACATTTTACTTCTTTTAAATTAAGGGAATTTCACATGCGTATTAAATTTAATGAAATATTTTACATGATGGAAATTGTAATTGTTTAAATTTTTTAGAAGTTTCAATGCTAAACATGGAACAATTGGATTGCATTTGGGACTTAAAATAGTTTCTTTTTGGTTGCAGTTTTCTATTTTCATCTTATGGTGTTTATTTATAATTAATGAAAGAAAAATTAGTTTTTGTTAAAAAGCAAAAAATCTACAAAATAAATATATAAAAATATTATTTAAATAGCTCAATTTAAATTCTTATTGATTAAATGAATTATTTCTAAATTTCGAGATGTTCAGACAACTTGCCTTAAAATGCCACTTACTACTACTTATTTTATACAGCCTCAAAAAAATAAACAACTTGGTATTTTGAAATATAGTTGGATTTTTTCAAAAATTCCAATTTAAATTGCAAATAATCACTGTTTTATACGCATGAATATACTCGTCAATCACCTGATTAATTATTTACTTAAAAATATATTTTTTAAATTAATCAATTTTTAATCTTTTGATTATAAAATAAATACTTACACTGTAAAAATTTAAAATTCAAACATTATTGTACACTCAATTATTTATTTGGGATTTTCAACTACATTAGAATGATCAATCATTCTCCATAAAAATTAATCACAGTTAACTGGTTAATTATTTACCTAAAAAAATATTTTGGAAATTTAACAATTTTCAGTCTTTTCATTATAAAACCAAAACTTATACTGTAAAAAGTATCATGACCAGACTGAACTGTCATTAAAATTTGTAAAACACATAAAAGTGTTTATTAGCATCATTTAGTTCATTGGAGATTTTATTAGTAACAAAGGTAAAATAACTGTTACCAAAAACTTGTTTTAAAAATGTATGTATCAATGAATAAAATATACATCTTAAAATTGTAAAAAGTGATTGTTATCAACTTTTCCCTATCTCCATGAGATTGTCATAATAGTCCATTCTCCAGCATTTACTCGTGTTAAATTTCTTACCCAAACGCCCTTTGTTCAGACACGGTTTTAGCATTATCATTTCTCATCTTTAAGGTTTAATCATAGATATGGGAAAATATTAAAATTGCTATATTCTCAAATGTTTTCGATTCCCCGGTATCAAATGTCCGGCATAGCTTTCATATTCTCAAAGAGCAGCGTACTTTCTGTCGTCATAACCTAGTTTAGGATAAACTCTCAGCACGAATATTCCCGGAACAGCCTAAACATAAAGGTCATCGAGATTTGTTTTTTTTTTTTGCAGACGAGTTAAAAAAGCAGAAGCTTTGGTGAGTTATAAAATTGATCAATCGGAACCGGATTAGATTAATACGGCACATCAGTGAAAAAAAGTTGAGAATTAGACCGAGCAACTGGAATATAGAGATTATTTTGTCCTATTTACACACTATTATAATTTTTTTTCAAGTATGGCACGTTTGAGAATATTTGTCTATTACTTCATAAATTATTGATATTCATCTTTATTAAATGATATGTTAAATGCAATAAAAAGTGTTCGACGTAAGTGGGAAGGAAAGCAGTTATTCACAATATTACTAATAGTAATTGCATCTATTAATTCTCAAAACTTAATGTAAAGATAAATTTTATGTTGTTATATTACATACAAAAAATATAATCAACGTATCAGAAGTATGTAATTAAATTTATTTTATTATGCACTTAAATTATATTTGCTCTTCTACATACATAATTGGTGGTAACCTGGTACCTGGTAACTAAATATAAAAAAACAAATTTATGAAACTGAATATAAATAAGTTGCTAGACTCTTAATTTGTCAAATATGTTTGAAATTGAAAAAAATCACACGTAATTGAAGTAAAACTTTTTTGCTATTGTACAAGATGGCATTTAATTTAAAAATAAATACATCATATAAGATGTATTTAGGATGGTATTAAAAATGTTTATAATATTTGAAAACAATAATGTAATTAAAGTCATACTTCAAATATGACATGATCGGTTTGTCATTGTAATTAGCATTCAGAAATAAACCTTCATTAAAGAAATGAAGTAATTGCTGATTAATAAATTTTATAATATTCTTTCACACAGTGTATTATGTTAAACAACATCTAAACAAATATTGTTTTCGCAACTACGCTCATCATGTAATAATTGTATTTGAAGAACTTCATGTAATTAAAATTAACATACATTCATTGACTAATAAACAGCTGTAATAGCTGTTTTGCTTGAAAAATATTTTCTATTTCAATAACTTCAAAGATTTATAGAAACTACGAATAATAAAGAAATTATTTCAATAAACTTATGTGTTATACACGGCGCAAATGCTGCATTTATTTTATTATTTTCTTTATAATTGTTTATGGGGGACAGGGTAAAATATTCTCCTGATTCAGGCATTTTCCATTAAATCAAGATTTGTACTACAATGCAGGTTTAAAATGTTTATATATCTATGCCGATTTCCTTGTTGATATCGATACGCATACAACGACAGATTTCTATTCACATACACTATGGAAATGATATCATCGAGAGCGAATGACGAATCATTGGCACTCGACTCTTATCTTATCTTATATGCCGTAACGCACTTCCGTTGCATTTGTACGGAGTTACACTCTAATCGCACTTATAGAAGTTTTACTTCAAAAACATATTTCTATCATAAGGTTTTAAGCAAAAATTTTACTGAACATAGTAAAAATGAACATAATGTTTTATTGAAAATTTAATTGAAAGTTTAATTCAGAACTAGAATTTGTATAAAGTGCATCTATCTAAATCAGTGAGCTCACATCTAATGAAGTGATTTTAAAACAATAATCCACATTGTTTTGCTACTGAATTTCAATAATCCGTTAATCGCGAATTAACAAATATTCGAATAAACAGAATACTTATTCGAAAATATTTAGATAACCTGAATGATTCACCACAAATGAATCTGACAACGCAAACCTCATGAATACGAATGTGCAAATTCTGCGAAATAACTGAAAAACAATAAAGTTTAAGTAAGTTTGTGATATAAAAACATGATTTCTGACATTGGTTTAACTGTTAATGCTTAAAATAAAAAATAATGGTTAAATAAAAAATTTAAAATTGAATGTAAATAATGTACGACCATTTTAATAGACATCTCTGAACCAAGACAAATGAAGCGTTTGGACTTTTGTGAATATAATGAATGTAAACATATAAAAATCTTTAAAATAAAAACACGTATCTATGATATTAATCTATGATATCTAAAAATATTGAATTTGTTATGAAATATCTCGTGAATTTAAGAAAAATGAAAATTGAGTGTAAACATAATCGTATACTCAAAGCTTTCCTGAAGGAAATGCCCGCAGTTTGTTAAAAAATGAGATAATTCTTGTAATCTATAGCAATGTCATGTTGTAAAAAAGTTTATATGAGATATTTATTCTGGTATAATTATTATAAATTAAAAAACTAATAATATTTTTTTTTTCAGAATGTTACGACAACTAGCGCTTTTAGTTATTGGTGCAACAGTGGTCTTGGCCCAAAGGCGATTAGCACTTCCAGACCCAAGAAGTTGTGCCAACCGTGAGTAATAAAATTAATTTTGTATTTTGATTTTGAATTATTATCATTTGTATTTTTCAATTATTAAAGTTGAAAATAAAGATGTGAACTTTTCATCCAATCTAGAACAAGCAAACCATGTAATTAAATGCCACGCTGTACCTACTATAGATCTATCATTTCTTTTGATCCCCTAAATTATGATAAATTGTTCTGAATAATTTTATAAATTGAACCTTGATTTTTATTATTAGTTATTTTCAAAACCTTAAATATACTGAGTATACAGTATATACTGAGAACAAACTCAAAATTTTTGTTAAAAAGTGAAGACATTGTTCATTACTTTGATTCATATAAACATCCTTTCAGACGTGCAACTTATATCCTCCACATATAATAATCATTTGTTTTTAGATCTTTTAAACTTGTAATTTAGCTTACTGTATTAAATATCAAAGCAAATGAGTTTTACCGAAAAATTGATCTTACAAAATTTCAATTCAAATTCACGTCTGAACAAAATTCAATTTATCTGCATATAAACTTATATCATTTAAAGTTTACATAGCTCTCTCGCAGCATATACTAAATTGCATATTTTATGAATAATAATTATTATAATATAATTTTACGACTTCTGTAAAATGACATTACATTGTCATGAGGAAATAAAACATTCATCTTCAAGTCTTTGCTTATAATTTGGTGTATACTTCCTATAATTTAGAAAAAGAAAGTGTTTTAATTAGAGATTACAATCTCTTATTACTTGTTCATGTTTATGGGTACAAAAACAATTTATAGGAAAAGAAACTATCTTATGATTAATTATCATGTGAATTCTGTTATAAATAAACAATAAGATGCAAAACAAACAATAAATAACTATTATATGCAAATAAATGAAATAAATAAATTTTATTGTATTTTTTTATGCGTTAATTAGTTATAAAATGCGTTTGGGTTTCAAAATTCAATTTTGGTTTTGGGTTTGAAATTTTTATCTGCAATAAATAAAGCTAAAAAAATAAGTTAGAATGAAAAATAATGTTTTAATAAAGCAATAAACTATATGCGAACAAAAACATGTTTTTTCAGTGTATAAGACCAACAAAATAAACTATTTTTGCTCTTTATTAAATTTGTCTAAATAATGGTTGAAGCAGATGTTTCAATAAATAAGTAAAAATTACTATAATTTTTTGTGAATTCAGTTAGGGCTTGAGAACCACTGTTTATTAAGAAAATTAGGTAAAAAGATAGATAGCACATACATTTCGGATAAGTTGAACAAACCAAACAACAATAACAATATACTATAAACAATAATAATATAATTAAAATGAGAAACAATGTTGAAATATTAGAAAATCCTAAATTCAAATGCTACACAAAATTATTTTAAAGTTTAGCTTCATTTTCAAAGTTTGATTGCCATCTAATTTGCCCAAATATTTTGCCTATTCAGATATTTTAATATACAAGGGAAAATACAACACAATTCACATTCACAACTTATTATAAAATTTTAGTTAGTGAACTATATCTGTATGAGTTTAAGCAACAACAAGTAAAAGATAGGTAGCATGTATATTCAGGTGAAATAGAACATATAACGAAAACTTAAGAATTAAGGATGATAATATAGAAATAAAATAATCCATCAGTGTTTCTACTAAATTGTAGTTGGTTTTGCTGCACAACTTCAGAATCTAGGCTAGTTTTTACTTTCTACTGAAGACACCCAAATAATTGAAAAACAGGAAAAAAAATTAAATAAAGCCTAGTGAATACTTAATTGAGACTCTAAACTCAAAAATTTAGGAAAAAATAAGTAATAAGAAATATGGTTTTTAGTCTTTTTGTAAAATACTAAGAAAAATATTATACATTTCCATAACAAAGATGCATCTATTATCCATATTCATCAATGTTACAATGTACAATAGTGCATCTTGTGAAGAATTGCGCGAATTGTATAGAAAGTAAATTGTCGTGGCAGCTCTAAGGAGCCTCAGTACTCTATTACTCTTACATCACATCCTCTGGATTTTACTCTAAAATAAGCGGGTTATTAACTTCTCTGGATGTGTTATTAAGAAGTAACTAGTGTTAGCACAGCTGTGGTTTTTCGTAATTCTTCGCCGGATGCAATAAGTAATAAGGTGTCGTAAGATTTTCAGAAGTTGTTACCCGTTTTTCACTCAACGGCGTGCACACGATCGTCATTGGTAAACCAGAAGCGGATGAAATAGAATTCATCTCCGGAAAATATTGTGATATAGTAAATTATTTACATCACCTTCAAAAAATAAAATTGGTAAATGGATTGCAATTAAAATTCTATTTATCGGTGGCGTAATTGATTCGGTCGTGGTTCGATCCCAGGCACGACCACGTCCGACATCAGGCAGCTTAGATGTCAAATTTCTACTTGATGTTATAGATCCTAAATATAATCTCAAGTGAATATCGCCTCCCGTGGGTATAGCTGTATATAATCACACAGTGTCAACTAATACTTCGAGTATAGTTAATTAGTCACAACTGGATTGGACAACTGCCAGGCTACCATTTATTCAAAAAACCATATAATACGTCAAAACAATTACGGAATGTCCTAGTATGGTAGATTATAATTAAAAGCATATCAGATCAATATTTCTCTCTTACAATGACTCTTCGTCTTCTTTGACCTTACAAGATATTCTTCGTCAAAACTATAATTTTTTTATTATAGATTTTATTATAGATTTTCCATAGGGAAACATTTTTTGAGCCTTGTTTTAGCTGGTATATTGAAAACTGGTGGCAGTAAGCCATTTGAATGATCCTAAATTTTTTTATATATGCGCATTGCTTTTGTCTTTAATAACTTCATTTACTAATAATTATATTTTTATAACTTCTGCCTTTAATCACTTCATCTTCTAATGGTGATCAAGTTTTGCTAGATTCAAAACTAGCAATTTGAAAATTTATTGCTACCTTCATTTCCGAGTGAAAACCGATGCCACTACTGCTTGGAATCAGGCTGCCTGAGGCGGTTATTAAACCTACAACCTTTTCGTTAGAAGTACATAGCTTTTATCAATGAGTAGATAATTGGTTGTCTAATTTTCATATCTGAAGTAAAAATAATCTTATATAGTATTGTTCTACAAAACGTTTAACTCTAAAATTAAATTTTTATGATAATCTTTTCAAAATCAATACCACATAAATGATATAACCTTTAAAAAATTACAATTTAATAAGCCATATTTAAAAATGGCACTCCGTGGATTAGTGGTTAGAGATATAGAATTTCAATCAGATGTCCCAAGTTTGATACCCGCTTGGTGCAGACTGATGTCAAAAAGTGGTGGCATCAGTTTTTACTTGAAAATGTGTGCAAAAGACCATTACGCGGCATTATTGCCTAAATTAAAAATTCTGGTAAAAATTTTCAGTGAGCTTCTTTATATGGTCGAGTCTGTTATATTATCAAATATTTTTACTCAATAGGATCTCATGTATTATTATTCATTGGTTTGCATTAAATGCTTTTCTCGCGTTGGACATCTTGGACCAAAAAATCGATCAATTTCATTTTGACTTAAACAGTTGTAATAATAAAATGCACATAGAGATAGGATAACTGTTTGGGTTGCCATCTATAAAATCAAGATAGTTCAGTCAAATAATTACAAGAGCTTATATATTCCTGAAATTCTAATCGCCGTTTAACTAATATAGAAAAGATAATCCTATCAAAATCAATATACCGGTACAACCTATGAACATTTTAGGAAGTGCTTGTTTCTTGGATACATCTTATTTTTCAAGTTCCTTTAAAAATAAACTACAACAATTTTAATTTTTCCAATATTTAAATTTTCCTAATTATTAAAGCATCATGATGATGCGGTTCTGACTGCACTCTTTCGCAACACAAATTTACCTCTATAGTCCATTTATTAAGCACATCCTTCTGCAGAGTCATGATAGCGAGACATGGAGTGCGCTCAACTTATTTCGCAACATTGAGAATTTACTATCTTTTATTCTATAATATTCTGTATGTCCTTCGAATAAAATTAATGACAAACTCGGTGCCTCACGCGTCTAAGATAAATAAAAAACATAATTGTTGGGATACGAAGACAATGTACGAGATGATCACACTTAATTACCGGTAACCCAGATGAAGAGGTGTTTGTGATCATTAGTTCCAGATTTTTTTGGCGTAGAACTGATATATTGCAATGTTGTTAGAATGATGCATTCCAACTGTTGCATAATGTTATGTAATATTGTTTGTGCCCTACAAAGTTATGGAGATAATTATACACATTTTCGAGTGCACGCTAGGTGATGCGGGTTACAGGTCATTGTTGTCATGTAACGATTTGTTGAGTAATTGGAAGAAATTAGTACGTGTATTTTTATAATATCTGAAGTTGTTAGAATAGAAAAACTAGCTTAAAGATAGTTAACAAATAATTCACTAGAATATTCGAAGAGTTTCAAGCATAATATATGAATATTCCATGCTCAGGAAATATGCGAGTAATCAAAAACAAGCAAGTGGTTTCATTTTTATACGGTTATGTTCAAGGTGCAAAGAAATATCCATTATTAGGTATTTCATTGAAGTTTTAGCTCAGCATATCATTTACTATATTTAACACATTCACTGACGCGCACGCATATGTTGCGTGAGACTGTTGCCAATAGCCAGGAGCCGAACGCAATATGTGCATTCATCTTTTTTGCACTTTAGAGCAGTGTTATTGAAACTAGTTGGAATTGGTATTTTTCCTTGAGGCAAATTACATGAACTTCCCGATATGTGTAAATAATCGACTTAATCAATAAAAAATAAATAAATTTATGAGCGGTTAAAAGTATTCCGAGTGGATTTATTACACATCATTTTCTAAAAGCAAATTTTCCAAAATCAATAATTTTCATAATTGAACCAGTTTCCGTAGAACTTTAATGGTTTAGTATGTTAATTAAGACCAAGTACTCTATCGTCATATCAAGTAAATCGTCTAATTTTAATTTCAACAAACTTCAAAAAAACTATTCATTTTCTCAAATGTTGATGAATTTTTAAAATTAAACTACTTTTCGTAAGGCTGTAATATTTCAGTAAGTTCTATAAGACCATGATATATATCGCCAAAAAAGTTCCATAAAAATCGGCTTTAATTTTTTTTCAACAGTTAATTACAAGAAAACGGTTCGGTAGATTTTTACCTAAACTTATCAGAATCATTCCCAACTAATACCTTTCGAACAGTTTTCGATTTTTTAAAATCGATTCGATAATATGAGCTTAAATGTGGACAAAAAGTTTAACACTTTTTCCAAATTACACAGAAATGGCTCGGCAGTCGTTGCACAAAACTGACAAACGTTAGTTAGTTAGTTTAACTCATTGAGAAATTGAGATACATAAACTGGCTTTTAAATTTCTGAAATTGGTTCAGGCGTTTTTGAGAAAACATCGATCAAAGGTCTAATTTTGACAAATGCCAAAAAAACAATACCAATTTTTGCAAACTTTGACGAATTTTCAAAGTTAAACGAGTTGTCATAAGGCCGTAATATTTTAGTATGATCTATAAGACTATGGTATCTACCGTCAACAAAAAAAATAAAAAAATCTTCGAAAAAAATATTTTTCAGCCGTTTTTTAGAAAACGTCGATTTGCGACAAAAAATCTATTCACACACACACATGCTTTTACCAAATTGGGTCTTTTTGGATTCAAAATCGCTTGAAACGTCGAGAATATAAAAATATCGAATCGAATTTTTTTATGAAAACAAACTTCTCCTTCGGGAAGTTAAAAAGATCTATAAATTTGTTCCCATGCCAATCATTAGTTTGCAATTTATGCCGCGATCAATTTCACATTCAAATAAGTAGCTGCATCAAGTAAAGTATCTTCCCAGTCCCAACATATAGTGTCGTACAAGTATCCGCCATCCTTTGAATAAAAGTTCAAACCACCAGATTCGGAAGAGAAAATAGGTACTTTCTTTTCCTAAATCGTTTTAATCATGTGAACTCATGTAGAGGAATTACAATCTTGTATGTAAAGTAATCAATAATTTATTCACAAAGCCATGTCATGTAAAGATTTGATGTGCGGTTTATCGCTTACTTTCTCAATGGTATAAATTAGTGATAGTATACTTACAAGTATGCTCTTCTCTTCATTGCATTCCTAAACGTATTCAAATTGATTAGTTTTAATCAGCTTCTTGCGAATAAACGCCAATCCATATTTGATTAATCAACTATGTCAATTCGATTTGGTATATTGAATCATAAGACAAATTGATATCCATCCATTATAGTATACAGGATACTCGAACCATATTAGATGATTATATTTATCACATAGTTTCACTCATGGTAATTCGTGGCATATATCACGATTCTTAGAGTTTTGAAGATAGTCAAAGATGAATGGTGAAGAAATTGATTTGGGGCAAATTTCAAATTACGATCTTAAAAATTATTTAAATTTCCATATTGTATGTTCGTATTAAGTATCTCCTTCGATATCTCAGGTTGTTGGGTTATATTTTAACCCTTGTAGCTGTATGTATTAATCACTGATTTGTTGGTAAAATTTATATATTTGTTGCAGTGTTAATTACACTAGTGATTTATCACTGAGTTCTAATTGAAGATGATAAATTTATTGGTCATTACACATGTTGTTACGCGGACTTTAGTTTTAGAAGAGAGAAAATTAGTCCCCTCATACTCTCCGCTACTCCTTCTACAAGGGTAGCAACTTTCTGGGGCAAAGCTGCCTTCATAGCAATATAATAAAATGAAATTACGTTCGAACATGTATTTTGCTCTATTTTCACGATTAAACTGCCAATTTGATTTCTTAATACAAAATAGAACTAATAAAAACTTACTTTTTAGGAGTGAGACACTCGACATACCGTGATGCCAGAGGTGTAGCCCATTCTTACTTCTTCTCCTGGGAACATCAGCCAACTCGCAGCTTGGAAGTTGATTGGTTGGACGCCAGGAACATCTGCCGTAGACATTGTATGGACGCCGTCTCTCTGGAAACACCACAGGTAATAACTAGTCAAATACGAGTATATTATAAGAATTATTGCCTATCTTCATCCTAATAAATGATTTGGGCATAGAGGAAACCAAAGATATAAATAAAATACAACAATCATCGAAATGAAGCCAACATACAAAGGAAGCGTGCTGGCTAAAAATATCAAGGTCTATTTTATTCAGAGTTACCAGTAGTATCATTTTCTATTATGACAAATTACTATTCTATTTCATCAATGTTCATACTCAAATCTAGATATTACACTCACCATTTTTGCAAGACTCTATTCTTATAATAATCTATTTTTATGTGCAAACATCAATTACCTAGTCTAAGTTCAATTTCCTTTTGATCTTGTCTTTTAAACTCAACTATCATATTAACTATCTATTTTGATCAAATTAGGAAAATGAATTCATCAAGCAGAGGATAGCACGCGGCAACGTACGTTACATCTGGACATCAGGCAGAAAATGTAATTTTGCTGGATGCGACCGTGCTGATTTGCAACCTGCCAACGTCAACGGATGGTTCTGGTCTGGTTCCGGCGCCAAAATAGGACCAACCACCCAACGTAACTCCGGAGACTGGAGTCACACCGGAGGATACGGACAACAGCAACCCGATAACCGTGAAGCTGCCCAGGTACGATATAAATACACATTCAGATAGACATACATCTACATTCACTTACACATCAACATTCACATACACACATATATACGAGTTGTACCTGCGACGATTTTCGTGTGGAATATAACACAAAAGTTAAAAGTTTTAGCATTTTGATTTTAACTGCTATTTGGGTTCTGTGTTTTCTATTAACTTTACTTAAATCTTTCTCTTTATCTTTACTTAAATCTTTCTCTTTATACAATATTTGGTGTATGATCTTCTTGGCTAATAGATACTACAACACTTTTGACCATTCTCATAGGTTTAAGGTGATTTGACTTTTTCAACCATAACTGATTGGGACACATTTAAAAGATGTATAATCCAACCAGTAAACATTTTTTAAGGAAAAACCTAACTATCAACATTACTAACTAAATAATTTCTATATATAATTTACCTATGTAATAATTAACAGTCAATGTAGTTTTTGTCAAAAAAAAAAAAATTAGGAAAAACCTGAGGCGATACCTGACGCCTGATATGATACATCATTCCACATTCGTGTATAGTTAAACTTAAAATTGTATAAAAAATGAACATTTACATTAATGAAAATTCTTGATACTAAGTAGGCTTAAAGAAATATAGATAAAGACTCAAAATTAACCGGAAAGAATAAATTGAATTAATTGAATTTAGGTTCTAAAATCAATGTAAATAATCTCACAAACAGTTATATAAAAATCATTAATACTATCGCTTAAATTTTAGTTACAGCTAAATTATGGGTTTATTATTTCTAATATTCAATACTATATTGGCAAAATAGGATAGGGCGAGAAACAAAAGTCCATTTTGATTTTCAGTAATTATATTATCTAAGCCAAATGAACTGCATCAAACAAACAAATAATTCAAAACTATTTTCAGTAAAACACCCTATTTTCACTATCTTGCCTTTTACCTATATTTATATAATATATCATCTATCCCTTTTTACTTTCCATAGGACAGACAAAGCCAGACAGTTGCAATGTCTTATTTCTAATCAAATAGATTTTACAAAATAATAGCTACATGAACCAATGTGAAATCGAGAAAAAATATAAATTTCATGGGTACATTTTTTACAAAAATCATACTGTATGTAAGCTAGCCCGCTGAGCGTGAAGAACAAGCGAACACTATACTTAACAATAGTAAGAACGATACTGTAGTACGCCGCTGCAGCATGGAAAGCGATAACAAAGACTAACCGACGTAGACTACAGACAGTACAAATCAAAACTTTATGACTAGTACTAAACAAATCAAGGGACCCACAGACGAGACACTATTAGCCTTCAAAATATATACGTGAACAGACTAAAAGAAGCTCACTGGAAATCGGGCAAATCGAGATGATGGCTGGTTACACATATTTTGCCCTCTATTTTAGAATAGCATAGTCAAAAATACCAAATTTTACTTGTTTTCGAGATATAGGTGGTGAACCTTAAGCCCCACTCTACCCAACTCATATGTCACCTCAACACGATAGGACTAATTAAGGCAATGTATTTTTTTATCACTAATTCTTTTTTTTTTCAGGGTAATGATGAATCCTGCTTGTCAATCTTGAACAACTTCTACAACGATGGATTGAAATGGCACGATGTTGCTTGCCATCATTTGAAGCCATTTGTCTGCGAAGACAGTGATGAGCTTTTGAACTTTGTGCGTTCGCGCAATCCAGGCATTAGGCTATAAATTAATTAGTAAATGCCCAAGACAGCGAACTATATCGTAAATCAAAACATTGTAATCAAAATTTGTACTGAAATTATTCAGTTGATCAGCACCAAAATTATGAATTGACCATCTTCAAATGAAATATGAAATTCATTTTCCCACATCACAATTTTTATGAATTTATTTTTCCACCCTACGATGTGTTCAGCTGTCCTAAGTTTGTAATATATGTTAAGATTAATTATAAAAAAAGACAAATTTTCATTAGATTTATAATTGATTTTAAGAATTTTGTATAAATTATTTATTTATTCATCCACATAAAGATATATCATGTTGGCCATTATTCTTTAATATTTCTGAACAAGATAGAAATAGTTCTAACATATGTAAGGAATGAGAATGATCGTTCTATGAGCATCTAAATTTTATGTGTTTCATTGTAAGGATTATATGATTTCTGTATTTATCTAATAAATCTTTATATATTAAAGCATGAAACTTTTTATTATTTTTTTATGTACCATATAAAGCACATTGCAACACATTTTGTTAGTGTGTTGATATGAAGTAACATGGAAACTAGTGTAAGACATCGTGCCTTAAGGCAAATTCCAGGAACTTTGCTTTCCAAAAATTACACTTCTTGAGCGAGATAATTTTTTTCTAAATTTTGAAAAAAATAGATTTTTGAGTAATTTGAAATTTTTGAAAGAAATTGTCAATTTTTGAAAATAAAACCTTTTTTATAGTTTTGATAATTTTGAACTTCTTGTCAAAGAAAACACGCTTTATTACCTAATCAGCCCGTCTCCTCATCAATACGAATCGAATGTTTATTGAATTACCGTTAATCCGTGTTCACGAAATCGTCGACGAAAATTTGTATCCGCACACACACACATATATCTATTTTTTCTAAGGTATGCCAAAATATTCAAAAATCTCTGAAACGTAAAGATATATAAAAATTTTCATTTTCGATTTTTTTGCGATTACTATAGCTTACCACCCTACGGGAAGTTAAATAGTCTAATATTTTCATAAATATTTTATGAATTCCAAACATGTATATTATGATTTATCTTTCCAATTGCATATTTAATATTTCTGCATTTTCTCTACATAATTGAGACAACAATTAACTGTATTGATATTTTAATTTTATACAATTCTCTATGAATTTTATATTTTCATTTAAATCAAGTTTAGAATTTGACTAAGGTTTAAATTAAGTGTTCACCTAAGTTCATTATATTTTGTTCGAGTTCTTGTGCATTTTTATGTATTAAAATTAAATAATTTCGATATTAATATTCAATTGAATTTTTACGTGAGCGATTCCCATTAGACACAATTTTCGAAAATAATTTTTAACTAGAGAAAAGCAAAATTAGATATCAGCATTTTTATTTTATACCATGTTTTCTTTAATTATTTGAATTCAGGGACAGTGAAAAAGAATATTATCATCAGCCCAGGCGTAATTCTAAATCTTATTCAAGTTTATTGACCGATCTATGTAATTTCATCTGATAGGTATATTTCTATGAGAGCCAATTCTAAACAAACAAAAAGAGCAAAAAATGTCAACATTATATAATTAATCCATATAAATTTATCCATCAATCATTTACAGATATAAATGAAATAAAAAATATTTGCGCCTGCTCAACAAGCATCATATAAGATAGTAATCAAAAGGTAATCACTTTTATTTAGGAGCAATAAATGTAAGAATGTTCTTGAAATTTATAGAAAACGAATAAAAAAATACAATGGAAAATTATTTTAAAATTTTCCATTTATATAAATGTCACATGTGCGATTTGTTTTATTCGCCAATTATTTAATTTATACCCTCTAACTATCTTTGGAGACTTTTATATCATCCTGGTCTCTATAATAAATGTTTTTCGTGATGCACGAACATTACGAAATCTTCATAAAATGTTTGCGGTATATTGTCTATGGGCATGATTGCAATAGTTTTAATGGAATTTTTGCGAAATTTAATATAGGTTTTGTTTGATAACCATACTGAAAGAAAAATAGTAAAAAAGGTCCATAAAAATATAAAATAACCCCCCACTATCAAAATGATTATGAAGTCAAAAAATACTCTGAGGTCTACTCATAGCAACTAGAATAGAACAATTACTAGACGACTAGGATAAGACAACCTTCAACCTAAGAGTTGCCTTCGAAAAATAACAATAAGATATCAAAACAATTGTCCAAAATTAACGTGATATATTGGAAATATTGAAGTAACTTTAACAACAATTAGCAAATTTAATTGGTCTCAATGATTGTCTATGAATTTGATTTCTATTACTAAAATAAATTTGTGAAGGCCTCTGGGACTGTAGGCCCTAATAGGGACAAACTCATTAAAATAAAATTTATATATATATATATATATATATATATATATATATATATATATTAAAATCATAATTTAATTATCAATGATCAATTGTACCTGGAACCAATTTACCACTTGCACTATTATTCTAATTTCGGGTAAGTTTGGGCAAATCGATTGAGCAATTGTAATATGATATTCAGACACTCTATAAATAGGTTATAAACAAATTAAAATAACAAAGGCCTCACATAGTTTAAAGAATGCAATGAAATGCAATAGATCCTGTATTCCGACCCAAAGAAAGGCCTCCGGAACTGCAGGCCCTAATAAAGTGAAACTCATTAAAATAAAATTCATATTTTGTTAAAGAAATTTCATAATTCAATATATCATCATCAATGATCCATTTTACGTGGGGCCAATTTACTATCAGCATTATCATTCTTATTTCGGGTAAGTTTGGGCAAATCGACTGGGCAATTGCGATGATATTCAGAGACTCTTTAAATATGTTATAAACAAATTAAATTAACAAAGGCCTCACATATTTTGAAGAATGCAATGAAATGCATAGATAGATCCTGTATTCCGACCCTGAGAAATTTGACCTGAAGCTATCTGTGCATAATCTAATGTCAACTAGTTGATGATCTCGCACGTAGCTCGGTGCATTAAGATTCTTAAATGATCTCGTATATTTGCCAATTGATATACAGAAGAACTCCGTTAAGACGATCACTCGCATATTGCGCCAGTCTCTTGCACATTGCTCCTATCCCTCACAATAACCTTTTTCTCAAAAGGCGCTTTTTTGGCCTGGCCATAGGAATTCTCTTACTAGGGTTTTACTGTTTATGACATTGATATTGTTCAAATTTCAAACAGGTCATTGTAAAATATTATGGTCTGAATACTGTTTAACTATGGCTTCTTAAATATAACTCGTACTTACAAAAAGTTTTGATTGACAAAAAAAATATTACTCGTAAATATAAAATATCAGGTCAAATCTCAAATAAATCCTCAATTTATTATGTTTTGATTGATTTAATAAAAAAAACTTTAAATTACAGAATATTGAATGGCATGAATTAGCAATACTACATACTTTATAAAAGTTAAATAATGTACCTACAGCCTAATATAGGTATTGTATTATCAAGTTTTAATACTAAATCGACACTTTATAAATTTAATTAAAGCATTTTTAATTGAATTAGGTATAGATTTGCGAATCTGATAGCATTCAAAATAAACCTATTTTGAAATGCATGTCATGAATCGTTTAATTTAATATACTTATGCATAAACTCAGATGATGACAAATATGTTTTCAATCATAAAAACTGAAACAAAAAAAATGATATTTTCTTAGTCATTACGAGTATAATAAAGAAGAGTTACTATGCAAATACAAATGAAGAGAATAATGTAATTTCTGAGTTAGCAACAAACTTTGTGAAAAAATGTTTGGTAAAACCGGTACCTAAATTCTAGGTATCGGTAAGTTGATAATTTATATTGCAAATCTGATTAACGATAACGTATTTAATATTTCTATTAGTTTCGAAGAACTTCTAAAAAAATTAAATAAATTACTAAATTTTTTTCTGTCTCTACTTTGTAAAAAATATAAATTTTGCAATTACTGCGGTTATAATAAATAAAATCTATAATAGATGAGATTGCAATACCAGGAAGTAAGTATAATAAATAAATATATTTAAAATTTTAAATTGCATATGCATTTTAATATGAATATATTCTTCCAATTGAATACCCATCACTGTAAACCATTATACTCGAGGCTAATAGTGTGAAAAAGATCTTCAAAACATATTTTACTACAAAAATTATATTTCTTTTAATTGGGAGCACTAAATCAGTTTACTTTATAAATGCCTATGTGAATCCTACAAAATAGCTACAACCCTCGAACTCAAAAAATGGTGCTATACATGAAATAAAGACTATAACTAGTTGGGTGTATGGCATCGTGCCTTAAGGCAAATTGCTAGAACTTCCCGTACCAATTTTTTTTTTGTTTTAAAAAGATTAACATTTCTGAAAAAAAATTACTCTGGAAAAATTAGATTTTTGAGAAACTATAAATTTTTGACAAAAATTTATTTTTTTTTGAAAAAAAGAAATTTTTTGAAGAAAAATTTATTATGAAATATTTTGGAAACTCTTTTTCAAAGCAATCGTACTGCTTTAACTGCATAGAGACGAAATATCGAAGCGCAGCGTCGCCGTCTAACAAATAAAAATTGGTACGGAACCCATAGGAATGTAAACAAAATTTATACTTATTGTTAAAATCTCTATAAAATATCTGATAATTTGATGTGCATAAGTCTAATGATCATTTTTGACCGCCAAATTGCATTTTTTTTACTTTTTTACTAAATATCCGAAACCGCTAGACCTGCCTTCATGAAAATTCGATCAGTACTTTATCTTGTTAATACAAGTAAAATGTTTTTTGAATTATTCAAATCGGACGCTCCGTTCTTTTAAAAACTGAGTTACCGTTTTTGACACTTTTTGCCCCATATATTTGAAACGGATAGACCTGCCTTTGCCAGAAACTAATCAGCACGTCTCCTTATCAATACAAATCGAATGTTTTTTGAATTATTCAAAT